TTGGTTTGACTCGTGTTTCATTCCTTCCAGTAGTTGTGTTTCGTCGTAACCTTCGTTGTCGAAGATTATGGGTTGGTCTTCTGAGGTGTCGTCGTTTGTGTAGGGGGTAATGGATTTGCCGTTGGGAAGTGTCACTGCGTTGATTTTCTGTCGTAGTGGTGGTGGTTCTTTGGTTGCTTGCTCCGTTGATCTGATTGTAGTGTCCTTTGAGGTCTTCTGTGCTTTCGTTGGTTGCATTACTTCTTCCGGAGTTAAACGTCGTAGTGTTTGTCGAGGTGGTGCTGGTAGTGGTGGATGTTGTCGTCCGGTTGGTGAAGTAGCCATAGGACTATCCGGTAGTGGTCGTGAACTTGACGTCGATGTGGACGGAAGTCGTGGAGGTGGTGTAGTGCGTTGTTGTTTTGTTGCGGGTTCCGCAACGATGTCGTCCGTAGCGTTCGTTTGTTGTCCGAAATCTTGCGTGGACCTTCTTTTCTCTGACGGTTGTAGTTGCGTATCCAACAGTGTTGCGAACGATGGGTTGTAGGTGTTCCGTCGTGGTGCCCATGGTGTGCCGGAAACTTTGTTCAACAGTGCGAGGTCGTATTTGAAGTCCGGTTGTAGTCTCCGTACTGTTCGTACCTTTTGTACGCCTGATTCCGTTGCGACGTAGTTTTCTCCGGTTTCGGAAACTTTTCCGAGCCAGATGCATTTCTGCATCCGTAGGTCTGCTTTTGGAAGTTTCTTGTGTTGTGGTGGAAGGTAAAGTAGTGTCTCGCCAAATTCGCAGATTGCTCGCTCGTAGTTTCTTCCCCAGCGGCGTTCAAAGCTTGTGTAGCCGTCTGAGTGAATGACGTAGCGATTTACCGTCCATGCTGCATGTCGTACTATCCAAGGTAGTAGACAGTGCTTTGTGGACATCGTCATGCTGTAGTTGCTTTCAACCTGAGCTTTGACGACGCGGATTTGTCCGAGAAGTGTTCTATGTAGTCGCTCAACGCTTCCTTGACTGTTGCTGCTGTAGGATGGTGAATGTCGTACAGTCATTGAGCCGACTTTAGATGCTGTTGCTTTTAGTAGTGCATTCAGTGTGTCTTCGTTGTCGCTTTGTAGTATGCCTTGTGTTCTTCCGCATTCAAAGATGAATGCTTGTAGGTTGTTGATCATGTAGTCCATCATTGATGGTTTGTCCGGAACCAAGACCGCCATGCACAGTTGTGTAGTGACATCAACTGCTGTTAAGACTGGTGTGGTCTTCGGATCTTGTTGTGATTTGATGTACGCAAAACCCACTTGGATGATGGGTTGTCGTGAGTGTTGTTTCTTGTAGTTGTCCTGGCGTCCTTTGCCTTGAACGCAAATTGGACACCAATTTCTGTATGGTAGGTGTGTCAAGTTGTGTTCTGCTATTTGTTGTGGAGTGGGCTGCTGCGGTTGTCGTAGTCCTCTTGCTCTGTGTGCTTCATGATGCTCGTGTTGTTGTTCCTCATCGTGGTTCTCCTGGATGTACTCGTAGTCTTTCTTCACGGTGAACCTTGTTGTTCCTTTCCATTGAAATGGTAGTGCTGCGTTGCCCATGACTGTCCAGTCATCTTTGCGTTGCGAAACTTCTCCAAAGTTGTTGTGAGTGATTGTAGTTCTGTGAGGTTCAAGTGTGCTGATTGGTGGATGTCCTGGTCCATCTGTTGGAGTGAATAGAGTTGTTCTAAGTGTTGTGTGGTGTCTTATCCAGTATTCACCTTGTCTTTCCCAGTAGTCTTTGTTGTCCTCCTGTGCTGTGAGTGGTCTGTGGATTGTCTCCTTTGGTTGTTGTCAAGATCTGTAGAAGGTGCTGCTTTAGGTCTCCATATCTTTTGTGGTGCTCGTAGATGGATCTTTGATCTGGTTGGTGGTGTGTCCATTAGCCGTTGTGGTTGTGAGCTCTGCCTTGTTGGTGTGGTCTTTGATGTTGCTCTGTGTGTAGGTGTTATCTTTCTTCTGAATCTGGTTTCTCCAGTCCAGTTGTCACCTTCTAGTCTTCGTTGTAGTTCTTGCTTGGAAAGTTGTGTTGGGTTCTCTTGTAGTTGTTCTTGCTCTTGCCCTTGTCTGTTGATGATGGTTAGTCGCCAATCATCTAGTTCTCCTTCAGGTATTGGGCAACCGCTGTTGTGTGGTGTGAATAATGCTTTGCGTGGTCGTTTGTGTACTCTGATGGCGTAGTCACCATCAAGTTTCCAGTAGTCAGTGTTTCCACCAAGGATCTGTCGTAGTCCTTGGTCTGTGTGGGTGAGTGGTGCAATTTGTTCTTGTTGTTGTACTGTTTTCTCCGTAGGTTGAATCACAGCAATGGATTTTCCATTGTCTGTAGTCATTGGGTAGATGTCGAATCCTGTAGGGATGTCGATCTTCTCTGCTCGTAGGTAGAAAAGTCCTGAGTGTCTTATAAGGTGTGCTTGTTGTTGTCCATGTGTGATGGTGCAGTGTCGTGGAGTGAAGTCAAGTCCATATCCTCTATCAAGTAGTCTTGATGCACTGAGGATTGGATACTTCACATCACAAACGTAGTAGGGTATCATGATCCTGAAGTTGTCCTGCTTGTAGGGAACGTACTTGATGCCGTAGACAGGAATCTTCTTGTTAAGGTTGTAGCGGTAGGTCTGGTGCGTAGTCCTTCGGGCAAACGTGTGTAGATGCTCCTGAGTCGATCAACAGGTGGTGGTATGACTTGAAGTTGGAGTACATGATGTAGTGTGTGATAGTGTCCTCAATCTTCTTGTTCCTTTGTTGTTGTCTTGCTGCTGCTATGTCAAAGTGTGGCTGTGTGGTGTCTTCTTGTAGGAATTGTTGAAAGCTCTTGCTGTGGTCGTTCCATGATGTTGTGTGTGTTGTGCTCTTACCAAGTAGTGATTTGGATTTGTGTTTGTGCAGTCGTGAGTTTGCTTGTCTGATGTATCCAATGGTAAGGTGTGACTTGTTGATGCCTCCAATGTAGTTTGCTGTGTCCTCATAGCTGTTGTCATTCCAATCCCAGCTGTTGTCATAGTCGTAGTCGTTCCAGTTTTCCTCCATGTAGCTCACCTCGTGTTGTCCTTCTTCTCCTTCGTAGTACCAGTCCCAAGTGTCGTTCACATCCTGAGGTAGTTCTTCATTGTTGTCATGATCTGCTTGTTCTTGTTCTAGTGGATGTAGTTCTTCTCCTTCTCCTATGTGCCACACTGGCACTCTGCAGTCTTGTGCCCAGTGGCCAGGCTTGCCACATCGATGGCATGTTGTGTAGTTGTTGTTTCCTTTTCCTTTTGATTTGCTGTAGTTTCCTTGGCCTTTGTAGCCTTTGCTTGATCCATATCCTTTGGATCCTGAGTAGCCTTTTCCTTTGCTCTTGTTGTATCCTCCTTTGTTGTAGTTTTCTTTGCTGCCTTTGTCGAATCCTTTGTAGTGTCCTTTACTCCTGTACTTGCCTTTGCTCTTGCTTCCTTTGTAGCTGCCTTTTCCTTTTCCTTTGCCTTTGTAGTTTCTTCTTTTCCTCCATATGTTGTCAGCATCCATTGGTGCAGCTTCTCCATTGTAGTTTGTTCCTACTGCTGAAGTGATCTAGTGAAGGCTGAAATCGTCTTGTAGTAGTCCGAGATGAGTGCTCTGATCTCGATGTAGTTTGTGATCTGTCCAGCTCGCAGTTGGAGGTGTTGCTGCAGTGCTCCTTTGGTTTTGTTGAGTAGTATTGCTATTTTGGTTCCATCTGGTAGTGCTGTTCCATTGTCTTTCTCGTAGCGGTTGATGTCGTATTCCCATTGTAGAAATTGTTCTTCAAACTGCGCTTCGTTGAATGTAGGTTCCAGTAGTTTGGTAAGGTAGCCAACGCTTCTTGTTCCTACTGGTAGGCTGAACCTGTTGTGTAGTAGTCGTAGTGTTTCACATCCGTTTGTAGCGGTTTTGCCTTACTACTGTAGCTGCTGCTCCCTGACAGATGTTGATGAGGATGTAGTGATCTCGTGAGAGGTCTACTGCTTTTGTTGCTTGTGTAGGGTCGCGTATGTGGGCTCTTATGTCTGTGTCCTCAATCTGTCGTGTAGCCACTTGTGCTAGTTGTAGCACCAGGTCGAAGCTGGGAGTAGTCACCAGTGAAGAAGGGTGGTGGCAGTTTGTATCTATGTAGTCTCTGAACGTCGTTGTCTTGTTCTGTTCCTGCTCCCGTAGTTGTGGCTCCTACTGTGTCTGCTGTTGGCCCGTTCTCTGCTCCTGTAGTTTGTTGTGCTGAGGCTGATGCTGCCTCCTGACATGTCGTAGTAGTTTGGCATGTGACTGCTGTTGCTGTGGTTGTAGTACTTACTGCTTACTGGAGCTAGGATCTCAGCTCCGCTACCACGTTAAAATCGGTGGTTACTTTGCTTCCAAGTGCAAGTGCTGTAGTGTTCAAACAAACAGTCAACCGATTGTAGTCTGCAGCAATCCACCTTTTACACATGCGATGTAGTGAGCTCAAGGCCTGCAGCACATGCAACACAAATGCAGGAAGTGAAGCATGTAGTTTGACATCTCTCTCTCTCTCTCTCTCTCTCTCTCTCTCTCTCTCTCGCTTCTCACTCTCTCTACATACAATACATACATGTCTGGCCGTTTCGGGGTTGTCGTAAACCACGCGCCCAAAATTTGCTTTAGGTCTTTGGTTTCCTCTGGCTACCCCAGATGTTACCTGTGATTTTGACATCTCCGTTTACTGCATTTGCCATTCATGTTCCTTGCTATCTTACACCAAGATCTGTTGCAATAGCTATGCATCCATTTCAAGCCCATAGCTAATGATTACCCCCTGTTACGCAACCCTGTTTATTACTATGGGGGTGCTCTCCAAAAGTGAACCCCCACTAAAACCAGGGGCGCCCCCCATATGAAAAAGCACCTAGATAGCCAAGTTGCTGTTTTTTCGGTCCCTGTTTCTGGTTTTTGGGGTAAAGTGGATGGAAAAACAGCAACTTGTCTATTTAGGCAGGGGTTGATTCATAGGGGGTGGTCAGCTGCTGGTCAGATTTTTTCTGGCTTCCGAGGTCCACCGCTGCGCACGGCCGCTTTGAAACCCACTCGGTGATGCCCCAGGAGAAGAGGCGGACGAATCGCCTCGGCCCTATTTTATTGGGGTGCTTCTTCTTTTTTTACATGGCTGTGGGTCAAAAATGGGTACCCAAAATGGAACCCTGGTAAATGGAAGCAAAGAATAAAATCGCGTAGCCCTAGCTCTTTAGTTTTGAGCCACGCCACATTCCTTGTGGGATAAATACAATAGTTCTGATAGCTGGGCTTTTGGCTTTGATTCGTAGCATGATCATTAAATCAGTCATACAATTTGCAAAGATGTACCGACATCAAACAAATGCATTGTTTGCACTTGTTGGCTTTTCGAGCTGGGGTCTCACAGCGAGCGCCGTGGCCCACCTGTTGTTGAAGTTCCTGGAGCTTGAAATAAACACCTAGATAGCCAAGTTGCTGTTTTTTTCAGTCACTGTTGCAATCCGGCATCACTTTGGAAGTTTGCTTCCAGCCATTTTCGAGGAGCCGGTTCCCCACTCTGTTGCGCGGTGGTGCCCTTTTTTCTTTTTCATTTTTTTGGGAAGGGTTCCAATTCCAGTAAAGTCAACCAACCCCAAAAAATCGGATGCCGATCCTTTTTTCGCCATGGAAATCCACCGGGCAGCCTTTCCTTTGCGCCCCATGCCCCCCCCTCCCCCCCCGGCGCGCGAGGAGGAGTTCAGGTTCTCGGCGAAGCGACGGGCCATTGACAGCAGGCGAGTTTGCCTGAGCGGGGTTTCGATTATTGAAGCATCCAAGAGAGGACCACTCCTTCAAGAGCCGTCTCACGGGAGACGCTCATATGTACAAGGCAGTCCTCCAGAACGACCTCTTGCAAGATCCTGACGAAGGAGTCAACTATTTCAAGAACACGCTGAAGAAGTTCTTCCTGAAACGGTCGACCAACGTGTACTTATACAGACTCCTCAGTTTCTTCAATCATAGGAGGCAGCGCAGCGCCGAAGGTCCGGAAAGTGACACGGTTCTCGCAGCATCGCCGCCGGAGTCGCCTTTCAATCAATCCTGTTGCCAGCGCAGGATTGCTCCACTCAATCCTGCGCCGAGCACAGGATTGCTCCACTCAATCCTGCGTCGGGCGCAGGATTGCTCCACCCAATCCTGCGCTGACGACAGGATTGCCCCGATGCAGCACCAGCAGCTCGGGCTTGGAACTGTTCTTGCCCGAGCACAGGCTCATAATGGAGTCGGCCCGGCTGTAGAGCTCCCAGGCCTCTGGCACGTCGTTGATGCTCAGGACGAAGGGCAGACCGCTCGCGGGCGGCGAGTGCGGGAGCGATATGGGATTCTGCAGGTCGCTCCCGGTTTTCTGGGATAAAACTAAAGGCCGGCATGCGTCTGAAATACATGGGAAGCAAGGCGTGGCTGGCTCCACACCTGGACCGGCTGCTGGGCGACGTCACTGTACTGCATTCGCCCTTCTTCGGTTCCTGAAAGCTGGAGTACTACCTTGCCGCCCGGCGCCCGGGCCTGGAGGTGCGCGGCGTCGACGCCTTCGAGCCCGTCGCAAACCTGCACCGCTGCTACTTGAGGCAAGACCCGGTCTTCCTGCGCTCCTTGCTGCGCCTGGTGGGGCGCAAGGTGGACAGGCGCTTCTACTTCAGGCACCTCCTACCGGGCGCTCAGAGAGGCCGTGTCGGGCGTCGGGCTGCCTGCTCACACACCCTGCTGCGCAACAGCTTCTCGGGAAAGTGGGGCTCCTTCGCACAGCAGCGGCCACGTGCGGCGTCTGCAACGGCCACCGACAAATGTGACCGTGCGGCATCAGGACGCACTGGCCTATCTGCGCGCTCTGCCCTGCCTGGCGCCCCGGCAGCGCATCTATGCCGACCCTCCCTACATCTTCCCCGGTCGCACCATGAACTACTACGGCACGAAGGGGCGGGGGCATGACATGACCTTCCACTCGGAGCTCCGAGACGCGCTCTTACCGGTGGTGCGGTATACCTGAGCTACTCCCAATGGACTGTGTACGTGGGCTTTCGCGAGGGGCTCGTTGTTGCCAATTGCTCGCCTGTGGCCATCTCGAAGAGGCCGAATCTGCTGGCGCCGGCAAGGCATGGCTCCTCGAGATCATATGGCAGCTGAGTGCATTCCCTTCATTTGCCTCAATGAGCCGCCGACGGTGTGCTCCAACCTGGTGCAGGCAACGGCTGCGGCATTCAGTTCCTTTTGCTGTGCCCCTCATGATCTCAATTATGAGGATGGGATAGTGCTGAACCGGGGCTTTGTGCAGAGGCTAGGCTACCATTGGTGAGTGGCAGACTTGGACCTGCCGGCCAAGGTGTGGCTCCTGGCTCCACCGCAAAACAAACCTGCGGGGTCCAGCGATTTGAGGAGCTGGCGGCTTTGACCACGCTGGACCAGGTTGCGGCGGCTTCACCGGCGGGGCCTTTGTCCTGTCGGGGGTGGTCTCCTCATCGCTGCTGATCCCTCTTCTTGGAGACCCAGCCAACTCCCTCACAACCACCCGAAAGAGGGTTCCCTACCCAAGTTGTCAGGGTGGGGTGTAGCATCTTTGCCACTGCAATAGTCCGCACCGCAACCGGCGTAATGAATCAGGTACCGCCTCGCGTGGAAGTGCGCCATAATGTTGCTGCCCGCCATGACCCATGACTTTATGGTGTCAGGTATCACCAGTGCGGCCAACCCTAGAGCTCCAAGACAGTCCTGCGTCACTTGCCTCATGAGCATCACCATCTCTCTAAGCACCCAATGGCCCTTGGCCAGTAGGAAGCCGCCATTGTCGTCAACCATGATGCGGGAGGCAACAAGCCAACAAGCCTTACAATCCTGTCTGAGTATCCAGTGGCACCAATCTTGGCCTTATTCTGTGTGAGGATTACTGGTCGATCGCCACCTGGGGGTAGTGCCATGGATGCTGGCATCCGATTCCCACAATGGTCTCACGCGGCCTCATGTCTGAGCTTCGGGCCTGTCCCCATCAAAGTCCAATACCATCCGAGTCAGCTGGCACAGGCATCATTGCGGTAAGCCGGTCGCGCGGCGCTCTTATTGGGCCTGGGTGAACAGCTTTCAGGGCAGAAATACGATGTTGTGCTGGTAAGCGAAGTTGGGGCTTGCAACAATGCGTGCCGGAATAGCGGAGATCCTTTTTTTTCCTGATCCTGCCCATCAGCCGCTTCTTGTACTCCAGACAAGGTACCCTCCTCGCCAGCACCAATGCCTCAGGACTAAACAGGGGAGGAGAACTGTGATGTTCTCTGCGTATTGGCGCATAGGAGTACTGGCTGGGGGTCTCTCGGGATATCCCTTCTGCATAGTGGGCTCCGGTAGCCTCGCAAGTTCTCGTACGCTGCGCAGTGCCATATGGATGGATGGCTGCGGCGCTCAAATGTCGTATTTTGTGAGAATCATGGCTTCTGCTAAGAAGAATAAGGAGAACCAGCTTGGAGAGGCTGAGGGCTTTGTTGAATGCGCCTGTAGGCTCTGTTCCTGAACTGAATGACCATTACAGCAGGGTGTAATTACTCAACTTATCTGAAAGCCGTGGATACCATGGAGTTCCTGGACGATGGAGTGGAACCGAAGCTGAGGAGGTATATAACAATGGTTGCCTTGACCAAGCCCTCGATAGTGAAGAGGTCCGACACATTGGTGATGCATTTGAGAGCAATAGATAAGTTGTAAGTCTGGTGTGTGAAATCTTGTTCGAGTGTTGGTTGAGGAGTGCGTAAGAGAGCATGGAAGGATCCTCCTGATAGGACTGGGTGGGGCTGTTTCCAGCTTCACCAATAGGGTGTGGACTACATTGCCCGTCCGTATCACGAGTTCGGTGACCAGTACCCATACGAACACAAGTGTCTCTTATGGATATGATCCCATTCCTGTGCTAGATAAGGACACTGAACAGTTCGCACAGCTGCTGACGGCGTGAAGAGTGTGGTTGCACTGACTGTTGAAGATATGCGGCAGGCCAAGTCCCGGCTGCTCTGGTTCTACCTTTCGGGGATTCAAGACGAGTTGGCGCAATTTCATTTGAGAGGGCGCAATGCCGCGGGATTTGTGAGGGCGGTGGGGCCAGTAAGGTCGATTGCCCCCATACATCACAAGGTCACCGCTAGACCGCTGCAACTGGGGCCCCAGACATTTCAGCGGGCGGAGCTGGTACTCCCGCCAATTCACACCAATCCCGCAACAGTGGTGCATGAGCTCTTCCACTCACTCAGGGGGGACACACTCCAAGATAAGGCTGAACTGGGGGTGCAGAAGGTTCAGCTGGCTCTGGGGGATCAAGCAGAAGGATGGCGTGGGAGCCCACAAAGGTTTTTTAGCAGACCGCATGCTGATCCAGTCGCTCCTGTCTGGAGAGATCGAGGTGGGTAGCAACTTGTATCATGAGGTTTTGCTACAGGCGGCGGACTCGATCAAGGGCTCGGTCACTAAGATGCAGAGCCTCCTGGCATCCACAATCTTGGACACCATCAAGGATGGGGCTGGTGGCAATTGGTCCAAGGGAAGGATGACAAAGCTTTCTTCCTCTGAGGACAAGGCCGACTCTGGCGCAGGGAAAGCCACGAGACGGGAGGGGCCTCAGCTAGGAGCACCCCCAAGACGGGCTGGCCCAGCAGCTCCTCGAAGAAGAGGGTGCCTACGGCGATCAGCAGCGATGAGGAGACCACCCCCGACAGAGGCTCCGCCAGTGAAGCCGCCGCAACCTGGTCCAGCCTGGTCGAAGCCGCCTCCTTTACCTAGACAGAAAGCGGCGATCAGCTGAAAGGGGGGGTCAGGGCCGCTTCCCGTGGGGTCGCAAAACCAAGGCGAATTTTTCCCTGAAGCCTACCAGTTGCGGGTCCCGTCACTTATGTGACATTTTCAGATTGACATTTTTCTTCTTCTTTTTCTCTTCTTTTTTTCTTCTTCGGCACCCTGGCGCCATTTTGGGGGGCCCTTAAAAAAGACGAGCCATCCAAGCTGGGTCTGTCCCAAATACCCCGCAAAGACTCGTGGTTTCTCTAAAGGGTTTCGCGTTTGCTTCACTCACCCAAGAGGGGCACCCTTTTCCTCAAAAAGAAGAAGAAGAAGCAGGGCCACCCCGATACGGGTCTGTCTTTTTTTGGGACACCCCTTTTTGGTGGGGTTAAAGGAACACCAAAGGACAACCACCCATTTTTGTATTTTGGTTTGGGCGGGTGGGCCCCCAAAATAGCCGCACTCCGACTCCGAGATCTTGCGATGACCTCGCCTTGCAATGCCCGTCCTGAGAAGCTGTCGCCGCCTTGGCGCGGGGAGTTTCTTGGTCTGAGAGCCTTAGGAAGCCACACCATTTTCGGGAAAGTCGTCCCAGGGCTTCCCATTGGCCCGTGTAATCATAGGAACCTACCCAGAAGCCTGGAAGGAAAGCAGCCGGTTTGAGTTCGAACGGCGTTTTTTTTTGCAATCAATGCGGGATCACCTCCTGGACAAACGTAACGTACCACAAAGACTCCCTGTCCGAGACTTGAATCGTTTTTGAAGTTGAGCACAAAGAGTTGACAATTCGTGGCAACCAAAAAAAGTGCTGGTTCCCAGCCGTCCGGTTTGCTAGGTTTTTTAGATTTTTAGTTGGTTTAAGAACATATTGGCATTTTGTTGGCCCAACCCACTCGATCAGATGAGCACGTGCGCCACCCATTTTTTTGTCCACATCCAAAACCACTTGCTTTGCAAGCAAAACCTCTGAGGGGGAGGGAGGGGGAGGGCTGTTCACCAATTGTGGCTTCAAACATCACACGGGGTGAGCTTTAAGGAGGAAATATACAGAACCCTGACCATTCCAAAGGGCCGTTAGACCTCTAGGGGTTGCCGGATCCCCTTGGCATCTGCCAGGGCACGGACAAATGCGGTGATGCGGCCGTTGCAGCGTGCGCCGGGGGCCGATCAGAGAATCGGAGAATTACTTTGCCTTCGTGTTCCTGGGCTGCCGGTTTTCGGATCCCCTGCTACATGGCTGTAGGTCAACACCAATAGTACCATTTTGGGGTAGGTGCCCAGGTGCACCACCCATTTTAGTCGGAATTTTAGTGGGGATTGGGATGTTCACGGGTGTACGAGATTTTGACCCATGGCCAAATGTTTAACTTGTGGGTTAAATGGAAACTACCACTAAAGCAATCACGAAGTTCATCAAAGTCACACTTGAGGAAGCCCATTACTGCCCCCACATGTGCAGATTCTAGCCGTTGCTGGTATGTTGCAAGGGCACGCGTTGCTGCTCTGATTCACAGCCCGTTGCAGATGTTTTCTCCAGACGCTTGCCCAAATCGCATCGACCAAGTTGGTGAATGTAGTATTTTTGTAGTTTAGCTTGATGGGCTGACCCAGCCTGATGTGCATTCCTACTGTGGATGGACGAAATCCTGCACCACTTTCAAACCATGCTTGAAACCACTGCTTTTCCGGTATTGACATATTTGCAAGGAGATGGAATTACTTCCGGGTTTCTGACCGGTGCGAAACGGATGGATTTCGCGTCACCATCCAGCGGTAGTTCCTTGAAATGTGAGGGATGCAGAGAAGTCCCGGGACTCTGAGGCCACAATCGAGCCACAATGCAAACCCGGGTAGATGCAGGTTAGTAAGGGACAATCCCAAGCATAAATAGCTGGGGCCGCCTTCTTACTTCTTTACATGGTGCTGGGTGGACCATTTTAATACCGGCTTTTGATTATGACACAATTGGGCCGTGGAAGTCATTCGTCCTTCGGAGACGCGGAGCGAGGCCCCCGCCCCGCTCCTCCGCGCTGCAGCGGCGGCCCTCCAACCCCCCGCAGGCGCACGCGGAAGCTGAACGGCGAGGGGAGGGATTCTAGGGTTGGCCAAAACAGGCGAACTGCCAACCCAACCCAACCCAAGCCAAGCCAACCCGACCAAAGCGAAGCCAAGCCAACCCAAGCCAAGCCAACCCGACCAAAGCCAACCCAAGCCAAGCCAAGCCAACTCAAGCCCAGCCAGCCCAACCAAAGCCAACCCAAACCAGCCCAACGCAAGGTGAACCAGCCGACCAAGCAAATGAAGGCAAACAGACTTAGGTGTGGTGGTAGTAGTGCAAAAATCCGCTTGTACCAACTGAACCGGCCAGCTGGAGCAAACGCCCAAAGCAAAGAAGAAAGCATACAAAAGCATACGAAAAGCGGAAGGAAAGCACAAGAAAACCAACTTAAAAGCACGCACACACACACAGCGGGAAAAAATACGCGAAACGCAGAGAAAACACAAGAATAACCAACAAGAGCACACAAAAAGCGGAAAAAGCAACATGCGAAAACCAACAAAAGCACACAAGAAGCGGAAAAAAGGAAAACCGAGAAAACCAACAATTGGCATACAAAACGCGGAGAAATACACAAGATGAACTCACAGACCACGGAACGAAAAGCAACTCCAGGACTCCTCCATGTACCGTGGCTACCGCGACCGGTCCTCCTTGGCCTTGGGCTCCTTCGGATTGCAGAACCTGGGCGGGGAGCCCAAGCGGCGATTGAAAGAGCGGGAGGCAGGTGGCAAGCCTTTGCCTAGATAGCCAAATGGCTGCTTTTTTTAGTCACCGTTGCCGTTAAAGTAGATGGAAAAAATGCGATCGCAACAGGCGATCCAGGTTTCATAGGGGGCCAGAGAAACCGAATCAACCTGTTGCGCTTTCGGTTTCGCCCGTTTGAATCTTTTGTTACCCGGGGTGACCTTCGCTCTCGAGCGAAGTCTCTCAAAGCGATTCGACCGGATCTGACCTTTTGGGTTTCCCCCAGGCCATGGATCAAAACCAATGGGATCCCATTTTGGGATAGGTGCACCACCCATTTTAGTCTATGATAGTGGGGATTGGGATGTTCACTTTGGGTACGGGGTTTAACCCATGGCCAGTGACAGGTTCGAAGAGGAGAACGATCGGAGCTTCCAGGTACCACACATATGCCTTTTGTTGGGAGGAAAGGAAATAGTATTTGCCCCGATCCGATTTTTGTTTTTTGACTGCTTGTTGATTTCCATGGGTACCTGAGATGACTCAGAATGGACACCACCCCTTCCTATACAAGCCGTACGGGATAAGCTAGCAAACGCCGCTCATGTTGGGTTTGTCCGACAATCACTCCGGCAAGGTCTTCCGTTTTGGAGCTTTTGCTTGAACACAAGCTCGGTTGTTTCGGCCAGTTCGCATGTCCGGCCTTGTCATGGTTGTTGTTGGGAAACATGTTTCCCATTTTTGCTGATTGTGGTTTAGTGGGAAATCCCCACTTAACTGCTAAAATGTAATTCTTTGCTCCCCTTCCAACGTCAAGCAAGTTGTGGTCATGATGGGTCGCCGCGGACTTGAAAGGGGGGGGGGCTGACCACTGAGAAGCGGCTTTCGCCGCGGGTAGAAGCGGCTCCCAGCGCAACAAAGCCACATGTTTGATCCCAAATGGGAACAAGTCTTCGAACCCGCCCTCAAAATAAACATAACAAACCTTTGGTGCATTTTGCCAAGGGATGTTAGGACTGAACAACTTTCTGCCAACTAATGGGTTTTCCGTATTAAACCACGAAAAGCTAAACTTTGAGCAGGGGAGCAGAAAGCAGCCGAGAAACCTCCCTCCCCGAAGCAAGAAAACAACACACAATCATCAAAGCATCAAACCACGGTTCTCCACGGAGCCCTTTCGGTGTCCAGCATTTTACGTGGGCCTTTAGGTGTTGCAGACACTTTCCAACACATGCCGTTAACGGGCTTCGCTTCTACTTGCGTTTTCCCAACAGCTACCCTGGCGGTTCCCAGCTGTCCGGTTCCTGAAATGTTTAAGCAGGGCTCCTTAAAAGATACATTTTGCCCATTTGAAGCATGGCTTTTCCACCAAAATCAAGGGAACCCACCATTTACAAGGCAATGCTCAGGTGTATAATGTAAGGATCCCTGTTTAAGTTGTTTTTTTTTAGTTTTCATGGGGCCTGGTGTCCATTTCTCCCACTAAAACAGTCGCATTTAGCAGATCAGAAAACGGACATTTAGGTTTTTAGTTGGGGCGCGGCTTCCATATTTCTCCCTCAAGTTATTCACTTTTAGCAGGAAACACGATGTGAAAACCGGACAGCCCAATTTTGGTGTTTGACATTTGCTTTGTTGATTTCCATGATTCGAGGTGCCTGAGCTGACTCAGAATGCACAAAGACCCACCCAGCTAAAGCTGCGCCGAAAAAAACCACTTAGACATCCTATGGCAGGAAACACCTGCTACCTGAACGCTGTGACTCAGGCGTCGGTTGGCTTCGTCTTGGGTGTGAAACGGTGTGTTTTCCTGTTGGCTTTTCAAAGAAACACCGCAGAGAACAAGAGGGTACCTTGAAGAAAAGGACAGTTTGGTTGGATCTTTGGACTAGAGCTTTTTTGGTCGAAATCGATTGTCCGAATTGGACCCACAACAAGTTGAACCTTTTTTTGGCAGAGAGAGCGGTTTCTGTGCTTTTGGGAGAACCACCTAAGTCATCTGGCCACTTCATGGTGTTAAGGGCCAACATTGACACAAAGCAGCATGACTGAGGGAATGAGGGAATGACCCCTATAAACCATCCCCTATGGTTTCCTCTTTATTCGGCAATCATCAGGTTCATTCCATTTTCATTCCCACTCAGCGCACCAGCACAGGGGTTCCAGCTTGCAAAGAATCATCTTTGAATCCTATGTAACCCATGTGTTTGGAACCCATTTCCTTCAGGAGAATCCCCAAACGGTTCATTCCCTCATTTTCTTCTCGCACTTGTCGCCACCGGAGACCTGAAGTGAGCCACACTCAAAACCGATTTGGGTAGAAGGTTAGTAAAGGACAATCCCCTTGCCATAAATCGCTGCGGAATTCCGCCTTCTTATTCTTCAGATGGTTCTGGGATTACGACCATTTTACAACCGGGTTTTGACTGTCAGATGGGTATGGGTCAAAATTACATCACCGTTATATTTATGACCCACAGCCACATGGTTCCTCGAACTCAAGCGAGGTCCGCCGCAAATCCCAACGCCGGGCGGGCAGGCCATCAGCGCGCTGCGGGAGTTCGTGACGGACCTGAGAGACATGCGCGGGCAGTGGCGAGCGATGGATGTGCAGGGATTTGATTGACGCCTTGGGCTGGTTTTGCGCGCCCGTGTTGTTTTCTCTTCTTCGTCTTTTTGCTTTTTTTTCGTGATTTTTTCTATTAGGGCCACTTTTTGGGGTGCGTTTTTGGGGTGGGTTTCAAGGGAAACGAACAGACCACTGAAAGGAAAACACACATTTAAGGCCCCCCCCCTAAAGTTTAGAAGGACACACCCAGGTTCTTTGTGTTCTTCTTTGGTTGTGTGTGTGTGTGTGTGTGTGTTATTCTGTCGGGAGCCGACAGGACACCAACCAGATGGGAGTTTCTCAAACCGTTTGTTGTGTGTGTGTGTGTTTTCCCGGGAACTGACAGGACACCAACCAGTTTGGAGGACCGATTCCTACTTCAAGGGTACATTTGGAGGTGCGGTGTTTTGAGCTAGGTCCCCCAGCTAGGTGCCCTTTTACCGTTTCTTTCTTGGTTGGGAGATTCGGTTCCCCTACATAGACTACAGAAAAAAGTGGGTGCCAACTTATTCTAACCTCTCAAGTCTGGACGACCTAGCCATTGGGTGCCCCTTTGCCAGGTAACCCTTAAAGTTCCGGAACACCACCAAGGCCATCGGCCATCGGTTCAAAGGAAGATGATGTTCACCTGGGCCACGTGCTCAAAACCCGGGTAGATGAAGGTGAGTAAGGGGCAGTCCCAGCCAGAAAGAGTTGCGACCGCCTTCTTAATTTACGTGGTCGTGGGTAGACCAATTTGATACCGGGTTTTCATTGTGACTCACCTTGGCCCAAAAGGGAACATCAAGGAACCCCAACTCGTGCTGATCGATCGCCGGTTTTGGTTGTTTCTTTTGGTTTGTTGGTTGGTGGCAGCAACAAAGAGATCTTCTGGCGTTTGAGGTTCACTACTCTTGATGGACGAACTCCAATACCTTAAGCAACCTTATGGTTTCAACTCAGCGTTGGTGGCTCCCAGCCATCCGGTTCCTTAGCCTTTTAGGTTCTTAGTGTTTTCCATGCCGGGGATCTGAAAATGGCCAGCCCAGACTCCCTGGTTTCATTTCTCCGGCGGATCTCGAGCGACTTCGCCCCTGGGTCTAGGCCTTCTGCCTACCCCGGCTGAGCCAGGCCGCGGCGGATCTGTGCCGGAAAGCTCTTCAAGTGCACCGCCCGGGAGCTGAGCCAAATCGGTTTTTCGGACGGACCTCGCAGATGGATCAACCAACCTTTTTTCTTAATGAAGTGAGAGAGGGTAAACAATTCTCTGATTTGATTCAGTTAGGGGTGGGGCGCTTTTTAATGAAGTGAGAGAAAGGAACAATTCTCTGATTTGATTAAGTTCGGGGGGTGGGGCGGTCACGGGGTCGTCTGTGCATTCAATCCTGGGGTCGTTTCTGCATTCAATCCTGGCGTCGTCTGTGCATTCAATGCTTTTTGGGCTCACAGGCATGAGAATGGACTTGATGATTTAGGTGATCGGGGCTGACAGCTTGTGCTCTCTTGGCATGGTAAATATGTCCTCCCCTAAAGAACAGAAAGGCTGAACTATCCATATTGGCCTGTGCGATTAAGAGGTATTGATGGGTCAGTGAACTCCCCCACCCCCCACGCCTGGCCCCCTCCCCCCCACCCAGCAGACTGCACGTGTCATGTGCAACACGCCCGGCCCACTTCCCCCCCGCCCGCCCAGCACAGCTCACGTACCGCCCCCCTCCCCCCCACCCAGCAGACTGCACGTGTCATGTGTACCCCCGCCCACCCAGCACAGCGCACGTACCACCCCCCTGTCATGTGCAACACACCCGGCCCACTTCCCCCCGCCCACCCAGCGCAGCGCACGTACCACCCCCCTACACGCAGTGTCCCCTCCCACTTTCCCGTGCAGCACGCCTCTTCCCCCAACATCGCGTGCGCAAATGACCCGGTGGCATTGAATGCGCGAATGACTCCCAGATTGCGTGCGGAGATGACTCTGCCACCCCAGACCCCCTCTGATTCCCCGCTCAACCAGTAAAAGCAGGAAATATCGATGATCTGATTCCACCATATTCCAACCACATGTCAGAATAGGGAGAAGCGCCGGGACTGTCAATAAACTGGTTGCTCGAAATTCATTTGGGGTCACTAGAGAGCCCATGGGGCACCTAGGGTAGCCTTCGACTTGAAATGAAGAGTTTTGTTTCTTTACCCCGGTTGGTGGTGAGGGAAAGACGAGTTCACTGGACATATTTGCAGATTTGTTTCCTGGGGAGGAGCAAGCACATGGAGCTAGGTCTCAAGACCGAGGTCATGTTTGTCTCGTTGTTCCTGCTGGGGACGAAAAGGCAAATGGAGGTAGGTCTCAAGACCGAGGTCGACATTCTGGACAAGATGCAGGATACTTCCCTCTTGGCGCCGCCCGCGGCCTTAGAATCTCTTCCTTCAGTTGTCTACCAAACATACTGTGGAGGGTTGCGAAATCCATTTCGCACCACCTGAGAAACCCGGGAATCAGTCGATTCCCTTGTAAAACCCAACCAAGAATGGTTTCCTATGGTTTCAAAGTGGTGCGAAATGGACTTCAACCATCCACAGTATCTACCAGCAACATTTGGTTCAAGTGACTCAAGTCCGAGTTCCGGAACTCAGGGATTCCAAAGCCAAAGGGCACCTTGTGAACTTGGGGAAGAGACACCCTCGCTATTCCACTTGTCAGATCCGAGAAAAGCAAAGCTCACAGGAAGACAAATCCATCGGCCACTTTTCATTGAGCCGCCTTCTTCGCTTGTCTGGGCGATTAGAAGAACAATGTTCTGCCCTTGTTCGGTTTTGCAGTGATGGTAGAGAGTAAGCTAGGGATTAGTTGTGCAAATGGCCCCAACCGCATTTGCTTCCAAGGGTTTGGTTCTGGCACAGGTCTCTGTTCCGATAAATAGCTACCTTGGCAGCCAACGCCGATGAGGAACCTGTGCACAGCTAACTCAAGGGATAAAGTTCACACATGGTTTGTTTTTTGAGGGGTTTCTTGAAGGGGGCGGTTGCTTTGTGTTTGTTTTTTGCTTTCTGTTTTCTTGCAGGGGGTGCTTTGAGACTTCCCTTGGGAGATCAGCCCATGGGATGGGGGGTTTCTTGGGGGTGGCGGCCGCTTCGACACCGCGCCGGGCGCCCCGGAGCCGCTTCTCAACAGCCGCAGAGAGAGCTCCCCCGCTTCGAATTCGCTGAAGAGGTGAAGGAGTCGGGATCAAACTCGCCGTTGTTTTCACCTACTCAAAAAAACATTTTTTAAACACTACTCAAAGTCCCCCCCCTAACTCGTTGAAATCAAGCCACCTCATTTTTTCCAACTTTGATATGACCCCCAGAAACAGATCAAAATAATGACCGACCCCAGTCAAAACGCTGGGTACTTGGAGGGTAGTAAGGGACCCGCGGCCGCCTTGGTAGTTCTTTGCATGGTTCTGGGGATTAGCCAATTTGAAGACCAACGTTTTGCTGGTGACGCAAAGGGCGAGCAGACGTGGGTTTGTTTTGGGAGAAAGGAATCCAAAGAGAGACCTTCTTCTGGAGTTAACTTTGACACAAACCCCACAAAAACCGGCATGAGCGGCTTCAGTGACTGTCCCACCTGAGGCTGAGCCCGGCCAAGCTTCGCGAGCAGATCGCAGTGGCTGCGCCCCTTTGACGATCGCGTGGGTCGGTGGGCTTTGGAGTGGTGAGGCCCCAAGTCAAATTCCCCGACAAATTGGACACCCCCTTTTCTAGAAAAGGAAAGCTGGAGATCAGTTTTTTCCCGAAAGCATGGCGAAGGGCTCTTCCGTGCGGAGCTCTTGGTCAACTTGCGCAGAGTAGCTTGCGCAGAGTAGCTTGCGCAGCTCTTGGTCAACTTGCGCAGAGTAGCTTGCGCAGAATCACCAGCATGGAGATACCAGCATGGAGATACTCGCGCAGAGTTACTAGCACAGAGTTACCAGCACGGAGATACTTGCACAGAGTCACCAGCATGGAGATACTTGCACAGAGGCACCAGCATGGACTCACCAGCGTTGAGTTACTTGCGCAGAGCCAAGTGCAAAGAGCCAAGCGCATAGAGCCAAGTGCTCAGAGCGCAGTGCAAAGAGCGAGGTGCAAGGAGCCAAGTGCACAGAGCTAAGTGCACAGAGCCAAGTGCAAAGAGCGAAGTGGATCGAGCCAGGTGCATAGAGCCAAGTGCGTAGAGCTAGGTGCATAGAGCCAAGCTGAGCTAGGTGTAGAGGCTCGGCGTTAGGAGCTGTGTAGGCTAGGTTAAGTAAGTTAGGTTAAGTACTTAACACGCGGGAAAGAAAGAGAAAGAGCTCGGTATTAAGAATCTCTTTTAAGGCGGGGGGTGGGGATGATGCCGACGACCGGGATTTTGACCCTCTGCGGAGATCGGCGTGGTCGAGGTGCAAAAACTCAAGTTTTTTTGCTTTTTTTGACATTCCCGCGCGACCCTCTGCGGAGATCGGCGTGGTCGAGGTGAACTCGAGGTTTTTTGCGATTTTCAACATGCCCGCGCGACCCTCTGCGGAGATCGGCGTGGTCGAGGTGCAAAAACTCGAGGTTTTTTTGCGTTTTTGACATTCCCCCCTCTGCGGGGATCGGCGTGGTCGAGGTGCAAAAACTCGAGGTTGTTTTGGCGTTTTTGACATTCCCGGATGAACCATCTGCGGAGATCGTGCGTGTCGAAGCGCTCTCGCTGTGGCGCCGTGCGAATTCTTCTTAGTCTCGGCGAACCCTGTGCGGAGATAGTGCGTGTCGAAGCGCTCTCGCTGTGGCCGTGCGATTTTGTTGCTCGCGAAATGGCCTTTGGAAGTTGTCTCGTGGTTTGCGCGCCTGCTGTCGCAATCCCGCGGTCGCGGGTTCGATTCCCCCCTGGTCCGCGGCAGCTCCGGCTTGAAAATCGCAGCTTTTAAGTACAAACGTAGGACGCGGAGCACACTCCCGCAGCTCTGGCTGGAAATTCGCAACTTTTAAGTACAAAAAAAGTACGCGTTTTACATCCCACAGCTCCGGCAGCACTTGCGCAGAGCAACTTGCGCAGAGTCACTTGCGCAGAGCAACTTGCGCAGAGCAACTTGCACAGACCAACTTGCACAGAGCGCATGCGCAACTGGCGCAGAGCAACTTGCTCGGAGCACTTGCGCAGAGCAACTTGCACAGAGCACTTGCGGGCAGCAGCTTGCAGAGAGCAACTTGCGCGCAGCAGCCTGGAACAATGCAGCTTGCGCAGACCACTTTCGTGAGAAATCGCGCGGCGCAGTTCGTGCAAAGCACATTGCGCCGAGCAGACTCGTGCAGAGCCAACTTGCACACAGCCAGTTGCGCAGAGCCACTCGCGAAAAGTAGCTTGCGTAGAGCCAACTTTCACAGAGCCAAGCTGCGCAGAGCCATCTTGCACAGAGCTAAGTTGCGCGAGCGTGCTTTGCAGAAGACTGTGGCCGACGTGTAAGCTTTGCTATTGATTGCTTTTCCTTTTGCTTGTAATTCGTTTCGAGCTTTACGAGCTTTACTATTCTTGCTTTAACGGATGTAAATATGTGGGATTGAGCACTGCCATGTTTCCTCTGGTAGGACGATGAGATGGAGCTCTCATATGACCACACACAATATGGAGCATCGCCGCGCGCAGACGCAACGATGTAAAAAGGTGTCTCCGCGGCTGGATGAGCACCTGGGGAAAAATGCTTTCGGGCCAATCGTCCTCTAGTTTTTGGGGGGCGGGGTTGTTCGATCTTTTTCCCCACTGGTACTAGTTTTAGGGTAGTCACCCCAGCCAGCCTTGTTTTGAACAAGCACATATGGTTGTTTATTGAACTTTGTTTTTGTTTTTTGGGCATCCATCATTTTACATCTCAACCAGCAAGAATCTTTCGTTTTTGCGCTCCAAGTTTGGTCAGGTGTGTGTCCTTTTCAGGCTGGTTTAAAAGGATACCAACAGGAACGTCCATTATTTTTGGGTGGTCCATGATTTCAGGCACGTTCCCAAATGGGTGTGGCTCAAAATTAAACAGGAGGGGTTACGCAGGTTTTGGTCCATGTTCCACTGACCAGGGTTCCATTTTGGTACCGGTTTTTTGAGCCACAGCCAAATGGCTGCAACAGAGACTTGCACTTGACTGAGGTTGAACCAGACCCTGCGCCCGGCCGGTAAGTGGACCAACATTGTTTTGGTTTCCCTTGAGGACCAAGCAAAACGGGGTTGCCCCCCAAACAAGACACCCCCGTTTCGTTGACATGTCGGGTAGAGAGTTGGTCAGTCTGCCTTCACTGTTGTTGGCATCATCTCAGTCGTTCTTCTGCTTTGGTTCTGTTCATTTTAATGGGGGTCTGCAACGAAGAAAGTTTGTTGCTACCCAAGGGTTGTGAAACTTCAATGTTACTTTCCATGCGGAGCCACATGGCAGTGGGTCAAAACCAATGGTACCATTTTGGGGTAGGTGAATTCACCACCCATTTTAGTCGGGATTTTAGTGGTTGGATGGGGATGTTCACTGGGGGTACGATTTGGCTTGTGACCCATGGCCACATGATTCCACGGGCTTCGTCTGTGCCAGTCCTCCCTCCCAATGGGCCTCGGTTTCTCCGGGCAAACCGCGAGCTTGGACCACCTGCTCCGCGAGTTGAGTCACTTGCTCAAAACCTGGTACAAGAATGGTCGCAATCCCAGAACCATGCTTCAAGAATGAAGAAGGCGGAATTCCGCAGCTGGTTGCGGCTGGGATTGTCCCTTACTGCCCTCCAATTACGCGGGTTTTGGCTGTGGCTCAGTTGTGTTTGGCGACATGTGGCTTCCCCTTTTCAGCTTGGTAGGGGGCTTCAGCAGAGACACCGCCATTGGTTGGTCTCCAAATTTGGACATATCCAAACGCCACTAAGCTAGGATACGGTTGGATTCCTTTTGGGTTGCCTTGAAAACGCCCTAGAAACACACAAAAGGGGGGGGGCTGGGGGACTCTAAAACAAACTAAGTCATGATCATAGGGGAAACATGTAAGTTTGATGGTTCTCTTAGGTAAGCAGCTTTTGAGTTGGGTTCGTGGGGTGATCCATTGATTCACTAGAAGAAAGTCAAGCTTGCCGAGATCGTTCTGCCCCTTCTGGTTGAACATGGCTTGTTTGGGTTTGGGTCAAACAAAAATGGGGGTCGGACCGGTGCGGACTTACTCCATGTTACCCATCCTGAAAACACGATGATTTCAGGGCAGACGAACTATGAAGCAGAACCCACGCCGATTTCCGTAAGCTCGGAATGGTGCTTCAACAAAGAAAGGGGGCTTGGTTGGACCAGCCCCCCTTGTTCCTTGAAAGCACATATTTTTTCGATTTGTTTCTCTTTCCACGTTTTTCCAATCTGCCGGGGCTCCAGCCGTTTTTGGACCGCAACGGTTTTTGTGCTGTTTGAGCCGCCGGGCGTCCGAGGCCGATGTTCCGCGGCTCGGGGCAGCAGGACGCCCATGAGTTCTTCCTGGAGTGCCACGCGAGAGCCGCGAACGTTTTTTGGTTTTCTCTGTTTTTTTTTGAAGGGAATTGGGGGGGGGGGGGGGGTTGGTTTGCTCTGGGTTTTTTTGAAGGGAATTGGGGGGGGGGAGGGATGGTGTGCTGTTGGTTTTCTCTACTGCGAATGGGTTGGTTGGTTTAGACCTTAACTTTTAGGTTGAAATCAAGTTGGGGTTTCCATACCCACAAAAAGTGAAACTTTTTGCAGAGGGGCCAACAGCGACCAAGTTTCCTCCGGGTTTTTTGAAGGGAAAGGGGGGGGGGGGGCGGGAAGGTATGAAGCAAAGCAACCAGATGTGAGAGAAATGAACAAGTACTATTCAGTGCATAGATGAGGGAATGCGCACATATCTTAGACATACTATGCATACTGATAATTAGATAGCTAGGTTAGATAGACGGACGGGCAGATAGATAGATGAATAGATAGAGAGATAGACAGACAGCCAGATAGACAGATGGATGGATGGAAGGATGCTTAGTTGGAAGTACGGATGCATGTTTACATGAATGTGAAGCGTTTGAATGTCCCAACCCTGGGGACTCACGGGAGTGTGAGTTGCCCACTCACGGAATCGACGTGTTTGGTTTCTCAATACTTTGGCTTGGGGTCCGCTTCCTTGATCTATGGCAGTTGGAGGGACCGCGAAGCAGGGTTTGTCAATTTCGCAAGGGATCGAGGAAACAGTTTGGAGGTTTCCATGCGACCAGATCGTGACAACTCCATGGCCTGAAGAGCACGGGTACCTGGGCTGAGCTCCCTTGACATGGTTACAACTCTTTTCCTGAGTGTTGACCATCTTTCAGACCTATCGGAGGTACATGAACCAGCTTCACGACGAGCTGTTGAGCGGCCTCAAGGCCGGTGAAGCCGCCATGCTTTGGGTGTTTGTTTTGAATCTTTTGATTTGTTCTCTCTGTTTTGCTTATCTTGCTTTTGGCAGAACCTGTTTGTCGTCATTTCTGTTTGTTACGTTTGCCCTGGCATCTTTATGACTGGGCAAGGGGCACTCTTGAAGCATCACCACAGTAAACTCACCTGGCGGCCTTTTTTTGGAGATGTCTGAAAATAAGGGAAACACTGCCATGTGTTAAAACCGGAAATCAGGAACCCCAACAAAAAGGGCGATCCCCTTTTGGCTTCCCAGTTTTCGTTCACCTTAGGTGAAGTCATTCTTTTTTCATACTGCTAACACCTAGCCGAGTCAGTTTGTGTTAAGCTAGGACCATCCCAAAAGGGACATAGCTGTGGCTCAAAAAAGTGGAGCCAAAATGGCAGCTTGGGAAATGGAACCGAAGACTAAACCCCGCGGTTCGCCCCAGCTGTTTAGTTTTGAGCAAAACCATGGCAAACCAGTGTTTGCTGGTAAAAAACAACAGCAAAAAACAGGGGAATCATCATTCCAGTGATTCTTGGGTGGTGCCTAAGAGGAATTCGTCCATCCACAGTAGGACCATCCTGCCACCCTGACACGACCCCCCCCCAACCCCCCGCCTCCAGCGAGCGAGGCCACAGAACCCATGGAGGGCGAGGAGCCGCTGCTGGCGCGGCGCTCGGAGATCTTGATCTGGGTGTGGCTCAAGAAGAGGGTAACCCCCAAAATGGCTTGCCCTGGAAAATGGAAACATAGACTAAAACCTGCGGCCCGATTCCTGGTGTTTTTTTTGACCCACACCTGAAGATGCTCTAGGGGTTGATGAATATGGAAATGGGTCGAAAGCCATCAGTACCCCCAGTGCACATCACAATCCAACCACTAAAATGGACTAATGGGTGGTGCACCTACCCCAAAAATGGTACCATTGATTCTTGAACCCCAAGATGTTCTAGGGCCAAGGAGCCATGGAGCCCTGACACGTGGGCACTTGATCGAGGTGGGAACGAAAGCAAGCAGGCACTGATCCTGCACGGTGACATGGGTCTATGGGTCTATGGGTCTATGGGTCTTTAAAACCAACGAACACATGAAGAAACAAAGTCCCCAAACTTCCAGAGGTTGACTCCTTTTCCATTCTTTTCAACCATGGTTAATCTCAAAATCCAGCTGTTTCCCTTGGTCCCCAAAAAGAAAGATCCCTGGAAAGAGTAGCCCTCGAGATGTGGGGGTTCATCAATATTCCATTTAGGGCCCCAGTCTTGACCATGGGTAACTTTTCCTATGTGGTTGAAGTATCTTCTTTCTTGGTGGTTTCCCTAGGGGTCACCCCATGTAAAGGAGCTTTTAATCAACCCTCATGTGTTGATTTCATTCCACACTCTCAAGCCCATATGGGAAAGTCTATCTTTTGAGCATATTTCTTGCCGGTTTAAAGGGAAACTAAAGGGGACACACTCTCATTTTTTTTTGGGGTCCCTATTCCTCCATCTGCTTACCTCCCTTGGAAAGATAAGCGACATGTTCAGTAGTGAGAGATTCCCTTTCAAACCACGCGGCGGGAACTCCCTTCCCGAGTGAATTGGCCAAAACAAGTACCCGAACTTTTTGTCTAAGACACATCAAACCAAACCCAAGAAGTGACAAATCCGAAACGGAACTCGTCCCCTATTTTGACACATACACACTTGCTTTGAAGCATTGCTTTCGTTTGGAGGCACTATCATGACTCTCAGGTATTTTAAGTGGTATGTTGTTCAGAAAGCAGCCCGGCAGTCTCTCTAGCCTTCATATGGCTTCGCTTGTCATTGTTTTGCCTTGCTTGGCCTTAAGCTGTGCCGTGTAGATCGAAAGTACAAGGTCCGCTGAGTCGTGTGGGTGTGAACTTTTTTTGTTGGGTACCTCCTTCTGTTGGCTCCGAGAAACCAAAAGGAACACTGTTGCTCCATTTTGGCGGGGTTCCAATGCTCCATCCCGGATAGCTCGACGAACAGATCCCATGACCAAGTCGGAGATTTTTCAAAGCCAAGCAACGGGTTCAAAGGCAAAGCTTCCCTTGCGGGCCATTCGGGGACCCGAGCAAAACACGCTTTGCGGGGTCCAGTGTTTTGTGTTTTCCGTGTGTTTCCTTTGGTTTTCCTAGCTTTGGTTTCCCTTTCCGGGTGCCAAGTCAAGTTTCTACCTCTGCCTTTCCGACTCCTCCATTCCGCTCATTCGCTTCGGCAGACGCTTCGGCCAGCCGAAACGACTCGGAGCTCGTTTAAGCCGAAGCGACTCGAGGCGACGCAGAGCCATTTCGATGCGGAGGTGCAGAAGAATTTGCGGTGCATTGAGCTGTGGCCCCGGGAGCCGTTGGCGTCGATTCGGCTCGATGCCTCGATGGCATTTTGTGGGAAATCAACCACATTTTTAGGGAAGCCATCATGTAAAGCCTGGTAAACATGCCTGGTTAGCTAGTATGGTGGCAACTGGAAGCGCTGGGAGGGCGGACGCTGGAAAGTGGTATGACAACAGTTTTCTCGGAAGTGCTCAAGCTGTCATGGGAATCGACCACTTTGGTATCACAGAAAGTGTGACCTTCCGTTACCGTGTTTTTGGTCTCGGATTGGACATCAGGCACGTGAAGAAAGTGGACTGCTGGCAGGCTAGTGTTTAGTCTATCAGCCCAAGACCTGCAAAGCCCCATGACTAAAGAACATGGTTGCCACATTTTGGGTAGATGGAAATCCCAATCATCTTGACCTGAAAGAATCAGCAGGGTCGGTTCATGTCTGCTCTGGGTTCAAAAACGTTTCTTAAGATGGAAGTTCTTAGGTGTTTTCCCAAAAGATTGCTAGCATGGACCCCCGGACCCCCCTCCCTATGAATCACCGGTTTGATGAATCCATCGATTTTCATCCAGTTTGGTGCCACCATTCGCTTCAAATGTCTTATAAAAGGGAATGACGTGGGGCACACCCACCGAATTGGTGTCAGATCCCCACAACCTATCGTCAGAGGGCAAACAGAAGCACCATGGCCCAAGCTCCATGGAACCCTAAAAAGGAGATTCCAATGTGATTTGAAAGGAAACCACCAATTTTTGGCTCCGACTCCTAAAAAAAGGTCGACCGACCCACCCACCTCGCGAGCACCGAGGTGTGGCCACTCCCGGCAAGTGCCTCGGCGACTTTGTGGGCGACGTTTTACCCCTAGCCGACGGGGGAATCGATGGATTTCTGGGCATCGCCTTGTTCAGCGATCCGTGAAAGGACACGGCCGTGGGTCAACACCAATGGGATCCCATTTTGGGGTAGGTGCACCGCCCATTTTAGGCTTCATTTTAGTGGGGATTGGGATGTTCACTGAGGATTACCAGGGTTTTGACCCATAGCCACATGGTCTGCTTAACTGTTCCTGCCAAAAGGCTTCTAGCTTGTTGGTTCTGTTCGTTTTGACTGGGGGGCTGCAAAAAAAAAACGTTTCTTGTTTTCCCATCCGTCGGTGGAAACAAATGAGCAGGAGGAAACATGACAGGAAACGGTGTTTTTTAGGGCGGGGTTCAGTTTGCTCCGATCACCCGCCAATAGACCCGACATACTGTGGACAACATCCTGCGTTAATTGGAAGGACCTTTGAATACTGGGGCAAACCATCCACCATCCATGGCGGACCTTTGGCGTTGGCCTTTTGGGTACCAATTTGGCTTTTCCATCAAACAAAAGTTCTAGGGGTTGATTTTCCCATTCTTTTCAACCATCGTTCTTTCCAAAAACCGGCTGTTTTTCCTGGGTTTCCGGAGGTTTTCTAGAAACCGGATCCTTGGAAAGAATGCAATTGGAAGGTACCCCTGGAGAAGTGAATGAACCTGCGTTATCAGACTAGGTCCCCCAGTAGCCTTTTTTGGGGGAGGGCTCCCCCACTAAAATAGACAGACAAGTTGGTACCAACTTATTCTAACCTCTCTACTGGAGGACCTAGCAGAGAGGCCCCTATTGCAACTTTTTGGGAACGAGGAAGCCGTTCTGGCCCCAGCTGAAAGCTCTATCTTGGGGCAGCTTTCAGGGGGGGCAGGGGCACTGATGGGCTGTGCATACCACCTGGGCATTGGGCGGGGAACCCAAACCCGAAAAGTCCACGCGGGGAGCCCGAAAAAGAAAGAGAGCGAAAAACCCATTTCTCCCCTTTGTCACTTTAGGTGACCTGTAGATGGCTTTTTTCCTCTCGCCCCAGAAAGAAAAAAGTCTCTCGGTTTTCCCGCGTTTTTTCCCGAAAGCATTGCGAAGGGTTCTTCCGTGCGGAGCTCTTGGTCAACTTGCGCAGAGTAGCTTGCGCAGAGTAGCTTGCACAGAGTCACCAGCATGGAGATACCAGCATGGAGATACTCGCGCAGGGTTACTAGCACAGAGTAGCTTGCACAGAGTCACCAGCATGGAGATACTTGCACAGAGTCATCAGAATGGAGATACTTGCACAGAGTCACCAGCATGGAGTCGCCAGCATAGAGTTACTTGCGCAGAGCCAAGTGCAAAGAGCCAAGTGCAAAGAGCGAAGTGCATCGAGCCAGGTGCATAGAGCCAAGTGCATAGAGCTAAGCAAAGCTAGGTGTAGAGGCTCGGCGTTAGCAGCTGTGTAAGCTAGGTTAAGTAAGTTAGGTTAAGTACTCAACGTGCGAGAAAGAAAGAGAAAGAGCTCGGTATCAAGAATCTCTTTCTTGGCGGGGGGGGTGGGGATGTTGCCGGTGATCGGGAATGCGACCCTCTGCGGGGATCGGCGTGGTCGAGGTGCAAAAACTCGAGCTTTTTTTTGCGTGTTTGTCGGTGCGCGCGCGACTCTCTGCGGGGATCGGCGTGGTCGAGGTGCAAAAACTCGAGGTTTTTTGCTTTTTTGTCGGTGCGCGCGCGACCCTCTGCGGGGATCGGCGTGGTCGAGGTGCAAAAACTGGAGTTTTTTTGCGTTTTTGACATTCCCGGATGAACCCTCTGCGGGGATCGGCGTGGTCGAGGTGCAAAAACTCGAGGTTTTCTGCGTTTTTGACATTCCCGGATGAACCCTCTGCGGGGATCGTGCGTGTTGAAGCGCCCTCGCTGTGGCGCCGTGCGAATTCTTCTTAGTCTCGGCGAACCCTCTGCGGAGATAGTGCGTGTCGAAGCGCTCTCGCTGTAGCCGTGCGATTTTGTTGCTCGCGAAATGGCCTTTGGAAGTTGTCTCGTGGTTTGCGCGCCTGCTTTCGCAATCCCGCGGTCGCGGGCTCGATTCCCCCCTGGTCCGCGGCAGCTCCGGCTGGAAAATCGCAGCTTTTAAGTACAAACGTAGTACGCGGAGCGTGCTCCTGCAGCTCCGGCTGGAAAATCGCAACTTTTAAGTACAGACGTAGTATGCGGAGCGTGCTCCCGCAGCTCCGGCTGGAAAATCGCAACTTTTAAGTACAGACGTAGTATGTAGAGCGTGCTCCCGCAGCTCCGGCTGGAAAATCGCAACTTTTAAGTACAAAACTAGTACGCGAAGTACATTCCCACAGCTCCGGCAGCACTTGCGCAGAGCAACTTGCGCAGAGTCACTTGCGCAGAGCCACTTGCGCAGAGCAACTTGAACAGAGCACTTGCACAAAGCACTTGCGCAGAGCAACTTGCACAGACCAACTTGCACAGAGCACACGCGCAAAGCGCTGGCACCGAGCAACCGGCGCAGAGCACTTGCGCAGAGTAACTTGCTCGGAGCACTTGCGCAGAGCAACTTGCACAGAGCACTTGCGCACAGCAGCTTGCAGAGAGCAACTTGCGCCCAGCAGCCTGGAACAATGCAGCTTGCGCAGACCACTTTCGTGAGAAATCGCGCGGCGCAGTTCGTGCAAAACACATTGCGCCGAGCAGACTCGTGCAGAGCCAACTTGCACAGAGCCAGTTGCGCAGAGCCACTCGCGAAAAGTAGCTTGCGTAGATCCAACTTTCACAGAGCCAAGCTGCGCAGAGCCATCTTGCACAGAGCTAAGTTGCGCGAGCGTGCTTTGCAGAAACTGTGGCCGTCGTGTAAGCTTTGCTATTGATTGCTTTTCCTTTTGCCTGTAATTCGTTTCAAGCTTTACGAGCTTCACTCTTCTTGTTTTAACGGATGTAAATATGTGGGATCGAGCACTGCCATGTTTCCTCTCGTAGGACGATGAGATGGAGCTCTCATGTGACCATACGCATTGAGCATCGCCGCGCGGACACGCTCGCCGCAGCGATGTAAAAAGGTGTCTCCGCGGCTGGATGAGCACCTGGGGAAAAATGCTTTCGGGCCAATCGTCAATCGTCCTCTAGGTTTTTGAGGAAACCTAGGGGAGATCTCGGGAAGTTTAGGGGAAAAAAGTCCTGCCTTCTATTTGCTGAAGACCATTTTTTGTATTTTTCCTATCGGTTTTAAAGGGAATCTATCACTACTGGATGTTTTTGTTTCTTTTTTTTTCCAGGGGGCGAAAAAGCAAATGAAAGCCGCGGTTTCTTCGGGGGCCCATGTTTCGGTGTCGAAAACCCGGGCCCGCCAGGTCCTGGAGCGCTTCAGGGACTTCTCCCTGGACTTTGGCGAAAGCCTCGGAACTTCGTTCGGGATTTTGGCGGTTTCCTTTGAAACCCGTGAGGTTTCTGAGTCCACCGCTTTTTTTTCAGGGATCTTCAGCCAGTTCAACGCCTTCAATCGTGGATTTGAAGGGGCCGGGTGGATTTGCGTTTCAGGGTCCCGGGGGTTTCTGACAGGCTGAGAAATGGAATGACACCAAGAGAAGCCATCCAAGTTGTGGTTTCCTGAAAAGCCGTTACGGTTCATTTCCCACATAGGAAAAAGTCATTCCCTACTGCTGTTGCAAGGATCTCGAGCCATTTGCTCTTGTTTGGCACCTTCACAACCAGTCAAACAAGCAAACGTTTGATTCGGGATAGCCCCCCCTCCCCCTGTGTTTGGTTCTCAGACCAATTGATCTCCCGCAACATTTGGTTCAAGGCCCCTTTTGTATATCATTGCATCATTCATGATCGCGTGAAGCAAAAGAACCTTAGCAGGCCGCTTACAGGGTTATCCACAAGACAATCCACCAGGGACAATCCATCCTCCAATCATCCACAGTGGCATATTGGATTCTCTCCGGAATAGATCCAGGGACCAACACACCGACCTCTACTACCACAGGGTACCAGTTCCCTTCGCGGATAGGCACCTGGGGCAGTGGGCCTCAATTTGTGGTAGCGGAGCGGGTTTTCCGCAGAGATCCAAGGGAAGATGTCATCCGATGGAGAAGGCTTCATGGAAGCCTATTCAAGTATGGCCAAAAATCCAGGCTATTCGGAGGAAACATTAAATTTATCGATGACCGCCAAGCAGCCGCCATCGTACGACGGAAAAGTCAGCTGCTTCAGGTATGAAGAACTCGTGGACGACTGGGTGACCATCACAACGGTGGAAGCACCCAAGAGAGGACCTCTGCTCAAAAGCAGTGACGCATATATGTACAAGGCGGTCCTCCAAAACGACCTTTTGCAAGATCCTGTTTCAAGAACACGCTGAAGAAGTACTTTTTGAAAGGTGCGACCAACGTGTATCTGTACAGGCTCCTCAGTTTCTTCAACCATAGAAGGCAGAACCAAGAGTTCCTCATTTTTACCTCAAAATTCGAAATCCTTCTTATGAGATTGAAGGCAGCATGGATGGACTTGATGCCCGTTTTCATGGCACAGTCCCCATCATTTCGGCAGTCCGTGCAGGACGCAAATGCAAGAACAATTGCTCGACATCAGCAAGCAGCCGGTGTTCGAGCACCGCCTCCAGCCCTGCTCAATGAGGACGATCCAACAGTCCTCAGACAGTATATCCAAGGAATGCAGGACAGACAGCGGGACGCATTTCCCTTCGCGGGGATAATCTTCTTGAACTTCAAGTTCCGCCCCGACAGTTTTCTTGCTATGAACGCATCGTTCTCCTCGAGGACCCAGAACGTCTCTTCATCGTTGTTTGACATGAATCCTTCAAGTCCTTCTTCATCCTCAACCCAGAAGCCTTCTTCTCCTTCGTATTCACCTTGTTCGATGATGAAGAATGTGTTGCTTCGGTTGCCTCCTTGAGGTCGGATGGATGGATCTTGGATTGATGTCCTCGTCGTGATGAAGAGTTCATGGTAGTGCGTCTTCAGCATCTCATAGGAGTAGTTTTCTAGTGAGATGTTTCTCAATGACATTGCACTTGTCAGTCTCTCTCGTTGCTGATCTGACAGCTCACTTTGAAAAGGAAAATCAGGAAACAAAAAGGGCAGTCACCAACGAGGTGGCTTTAAACCCTTCAGAAAAAGCGGTTCTGGCGGAAAGGCCAATATGGCCAACGAAAGCTATGATCCCTACGACAGGCATATTGGGGAAAAGGCAAAGGAAAGAAGGGAAAGAAATGAAAATCAAAATTCCAATATCCCTATGATGGAAACAAAGGTTATCATTCCTATGAGAGTGGCAAAGGAAAGAGCGGACAGGAGAAAGGAAAATCCAAGACGTTCACAGCCACCGCAGAGAAGACGGAGGAGCAGCCCGCCATCCAGCAGACTGCACCATCCATAGAGCCTACCTATGCCGGTTGGACAGACCAAGACTGGGATCAATCATGGACATGGAACGACTCATCCCATGAGACATCCAGCACAGGACAAGCGTTAATGGCATTCCATGATGCATATGAGCATCCTGGGAAAAAGGCCATCCACGAGAAGCTGATCCAATCAGATACAGTTTCAGAACACAATCTGTCCGTCACAACAAATCACAGCCTTCTGGCAACAAAGCTGATGGCGCCTGTCATCAACCCTCAGCACAACCCGACCTATGCGATTCTGGACAATGGATGTACCAGATCTATGGGCAGCTGGCATGCAATCCAGCGTTTTACTCAGGCCATCGAACCAATGAAGGACATCATCTCCTATGAGTACATCCCGGCCGAGACCAAGTTCACTTTTGCAAACGGAGAGACCGCCAGGGTAAATTGGACCCTGCATCTTCGATATCACACAACTCCTCCATGCAGTACCAACATCGACGTCCTTGAACAAGGAACTGTACCGATCCTTCTCAGCATCAGCCAGATGCGGAACCTCTACATGACCATCGAGCACACACCTCAATGTGACAAGATCACATGCAAGGCCTTTGGCATGAACCGTCAAGCAGTTCCAGTATCCGGTGCAGGACATGCACTCGTCGATCTCGCTGGAGTTGCAAGAGTGAAGGCGCAAGGAGAAATTGCTCACAAGGGCCTCATCAACTATGTCTATGACGATGATAACAGCATCAAGTTTCCCTCCGGGGATCTCACCAAGAGCGAAACTGTGTGTGCAGCAAAATCATCCGAGACAAAGGAGGACCTACCAACTCCTAAGATCAGTGAATCTCAAAAACAGAACCATTGAATCCGTGACAAGAAGAACAAGCAGCTCATCCGTGTGCGCATCACGCCCCGAAAGGCGCTGTTCACACCAAATGGAGCCAAGGAATGTCCAATCAATCCTGATCACATTAGCCGAGAACGTACTACGGAAATCATTGATGCATCCGCAGGTGGAGATCCAGACATTCTAGAAGACAAATTGGAGACTTACATCCCAGGCAAATAAACCGATGATTAACCTGTGGACAGGTAAGACCATTTTCACCTTCACGGACAATTCGCTTAAGGACGAAGAAGCAGGTTCAGGATCGGCAGCAGACAGGATCATCGACAAGAGGGGCCGGTCGACTATTGAGCCAGATCCTTTCGCACCATCCTCAGAAGAACCAACATCGCTTCCGCTTGCCCTAGGCAGAATACACAAGCGATTGTCAATCCCGAAGAGTTGAAGAAACTCCACCTGCAGCATCATCACATGACAACAGATCAATTTCGATTTAGAACCCGAGCACTTCATTTGCCGAAATCAACATTCGATCTATTTGACAAGATCCGAAGTGAGTGTGAAGTTTGCCAAGCGGCAAAACATGCACCATCACGAAGCAAAACAAGTGGACTTCGAGCGGACACCTTTGGTGACATGACATTCATTGATCACTGTCAAGTTCCTCTTGGAACAGGAGAACACATCATTGTTTTTGTCATCCTGGATGGAGCAACAACATTGCTCACTGCAGAGGCAGTGACAACTACGCAAGAAGCCGAGAACATCACTGTCCTCAGGAACTATTTTGACCAGTACCACTTGCAGCCCAAATCAGTTGTCGCAGATCAAGCCTTCATGACAGATACATGGGAACATTTCTATCAGTCCCTTGACATCACGCCGATATCCTTGGGACCGAATACACCATGGCCAAATCGAGCTGAAGCAGCAGTTCGACTCCTGAAGGCACAACTCAAGATCATGCTAAGTTCCATCAAAGCAGGTACAGCACCTGCAACACTGAAGAAAGTGACATACAGGCAGCTAGTGAAGGCCGCTGCAACTGTCAGGAATCAGACCGTCACCTACGGGGGTGTAACACCATTGGAGCTCGCATTCGGAAGACGACCAGCAGATCTCATCCAACTCGATGTCGCAACACCAACTCAGTTGACGATTGACAGGAATGAAGAAGAGCTGACAGCCATCCAGATCAAGCAGCTGTCAAAGCAAGCTTTCCAAGAAGCACGTCAATCCGAAGACATCCGACGAGACCTTGCTCAAAATCTCCGAATGAGTTCAAAGCCTCTTCAGGTGAAGGACAAGGTATTCTACTGGCAGGAAGACAAATCCAAGATTCGTTCCGATGGAAGCAAGGGAGGAATATGGCTAAAAGGAAAGGTCATTTCCATTGAAGGAGCGATGGTAGGACTTGATCTTGGGACTCGACTCATCAAGGTTAACATGACGAAGCTCAGGAAGGATGAGACCATCCCTCCGGGGAAACCCGGAATTGATCTTCTGTTACCAGAAGAGCGAGAATCCTTGCAGAAGGAGCAACCAGGCTCCTCTGCAGATACCAAGAAAAAGGAATCATCCGCACCAGCTCCTAAGCCAAGATCCTCAGTGCCATTACGTATCGCGGGAAAAACAACTCCAAAACCTGTAGTACCTCATCCAGCAGAGAACATGTTCGTCGAGGACCTCACATCCATTCCTGAACAAGCACATTGGAATTGTGTACGTAAGGGAAAGATCCACGTTCTCGAGATCTTTGCAGGAAGTGCCAGATTCAGTCAATGCTGTGCACTATCAGGTCTTAAGGTTGGGACTCCCGTAGACATCCGCACAGGATTCGATGTAATGACATCCAAGGGACGACACATGGTCATGGAGATCATCAGGGAACAAGCACCTGATGTCATCCTTATGGCACCGGTCTGTGGACCATGGTCAAATATGCAGAACATCCAACAAGACCAACAAAAGGTTGGGGAAAAGCGGAGACGCTACCTTCCCATGGTTGAATTTGTGGCATCCATTGCGCGATATCAGTTGAAGCACAGAAGATACTTCATCATCGAAAATCCTCAGACATCCAGGATATGGTATCTGAAATGCATGCAACAATTGTTTTCAGATCCATCCGTGACCTGGGGAGATTTCCATTTCTGTGCA